AGTTTGACCCTTTCACTTCTAAGATCTCTCCTGATTGTGTGCCAAACCTTCCTAAAAAATTTCAACCCTGAGAATCTGTGTTAAATTTCAAAACATTGCCTGCCTCATTATTTTTCTCTTTAATCAGCTCCTTCATATTTTGAATTGTAATGCTATTGTGAAGAGAAACTTGTTTTGGTTTGCTCTTAACACTAAAAGGTGAAATGGAATCCTCTATCATAGTAACAGTAATAACATCAATAACAATATTTGATGGCACTAATATTAATGATAGTGGTGCTAATAATAAAAATATTGATGATAATAATAGTACCATAATGATTAAAATCATTACAGTAGGAAATTTAACAACAATAAAAATGATAACGATGATAACAACACCTATAATAATGTCTCAGGAGGAGATCAATATTTAGAGGACATCTTAAACTTCTATAGCTATCTCCTCATTCAATCAAGAAATGGCTTTTGGTTGAAGAACAAATCTTAAGAGTGAAAAGATCAAACATGGTTACACCTGCTACCCAGCTTGACCCTGAGGAAGATTTAGCCAACTGTTAAAAATAACCATGTGCGAGGTTAATTTTTGTTTTTCTGTTAATCCCTACATGCTCAAAAGTCTGAGCTCTTGAATTGGATCTTCCTTGAAATCTGTTTTCTGAATTCAATGTGCAAGAGTGATTTTTGGATGCCACTCTGCAAAACAGCTGGGTGATCCTCAGTTTGCTTATTTTGCAGCATCTGAAGAGGAGAAGACCCTCTGTGCCATTGTCTTTGTTGAAAAACGATACACAGCACTGATCCTCAGCAAACAGCTTAACATGGCTGCCAAACTAGATCAGGAGCTCTCATTCATCAAAAGTGACTTTGTGATTGGTCACGGCACAGGTGCAAGGGTTAGCTACTCCAGTAACACAGAGATGAATTTTAAGAAACAGGAGGAAGTGCTGCGCAAGTTCAGAAATGACAAGAAAAGACATGAATTCAATGTGCTGATAGCCATCTCTGTTGTTGAGGAGGGATTAGATATTCCCAAGTGTAATGTTGTCTGCAGGTTTGATTTCCCAAAGAATTATTGCTCCTATGTACAGTCAAAGGGCAGAGCTCGTGCCAAAGGTTCCAAGTACTACATGCTGGTGGATGAAAAGGAGCAAGTGGAAAAAGTGAATGAATTGGAGGTACATATTTTAAAGTAATAAAGTCAGTAATAATCCATACCTACTCTGGTGATTGTCATTGATAATGTTTAGCTGAGGATGCAGAGCACCAGACTGCTGTGTGGGAGATAGAGGGTTCAAGCCCCAGACTGCTTACCGACTCTCAGGGTCTTAGAATAGCTAAGGACTGTGCTGCCTTTGCTATGATGTCTGCAAATGGTTAGACATTCTACTCTACTCGTAGAAGGATCATAAGCCATGAGCCCCATCTTCTGCATCTCCTCTCTACTGGTTAGCAGGGGATGTTGATGAACCCATGCATTTCTCACAAAGAATAGGGAACATATATGTTCGATTCCTCATGGGGACTCAGAATTTTTTCTTTGTCCCACACTTGTGACAAAGCAAAAAAACATCTTCTCTATAGATGTCATTGTTATAGTCTGGCCTTTTGATTTTTTACCAGGCTGCCTTTTAAAGCAGCTTCAAGCTGAACTGGGAAAGCTAATTTAAATATCATAAATAAATACATAACCTGGTGGAATTACTGTAAGGAATGTTAATTATTCTTCTTCTTAATGTTCATGACTTATTCCCTAGATGTTGCGTGCTATTGAGGAAATCTTGTTGGAAAGATGCCATGATCGGCTGGAGCCAACTGTGGAGGAGTGTAATGAGTCAGTAGACACAGATTTATTGCCACCGTACATACCAGTAAATGGAAAGGGAGCTAGAGTAACTATGAGCAGTAGTGTTGCTCTACTTTCAAAGTAAGTGCAAAGAATTTATTAACTTTGAATTGTGATGAAAATTTGAGATGATTGGTTGACTTGTGTATCGTTAAGTAATGTGGTTGTAAAAAGGGAAGATTTGCCTTTTACGGGTAACACACTGGGGCTCCTACTGTGAAAAGGGGTGATTTGTATTTATTATAAGTATTGCTGTAAAGCTGACTGTTTGCTTCCCCACAAAACTCAAGATCACCTAATAGCAACAACAAACTGATTAATAATTGATAGCTCTTCAGTATTCTCCTTTTCTGGAGGCAACTAGTAAAATTTACTGCTTGTATTACCTCTTATTTTTCACTGAAATCACTTGGAATTCATGAAAATTCAGGACTAGGTAAAAGGATAAGTCTACCAGTTTGATAATTATTTTTACCTGTCAAGTTGAAATAAGGGAGTACACTGCCTCTTTTAAAGCTCTTACACCACATCGAAATAAAAGTTATGCTCTTTTAAATTTTTAACTTAGGGTGTAGAATATTCTTATACTTAATATGGAGAAGACTTATTACTTATAACAAACTTTATAAAACTAGAATTATAACAATATTTCTACCTTTGTCTTGTCAGGTACTGTTCAAAGCTTCCAGGAGACCGGTTTACTCAGCCTAAGCCAGTTTACAAGGTTGAGGAAATTAGGAAATATCTGTACAGGTGTAAACTAACACTCCCAATAAACTGTCAACCACGTGAAGATATAATAGTGAGTTTGGAGGACTTCTCTTTTTTTAAATAAAGAAATAAAAACCTTACCATAGAAATTTGCCTATTTTCACTGTCATTCTCATCTGGGCCATTGACAATGTTTATCTGTCTTCTGATTGGTTATTGGTACTTTGGTTTTGTTGTGGTGACTCTCAAATAAAACTGCTCTCATTCTTTGAACCAAGTTTCAGGGAAAAGCACTTTACTTCAAAAGGAAAATTGTTTGTTAGCTCTTGGGAATTAACCCTGTAACTCTCCATGATTCTAAAAGTAATTCTCCCAACTCACTACCATACATTTCCTTGTAAATTGGAGAGGAGAATATGGTGTTATATCAAGACAACACTTTAAAGCTGATGAACTTATATGTTCTCATAGCCTGTTGGCTATGTAACATATTGGAATTACAAGGAGAAATTACATACTAATCGCTTATTAGAGAGTCATCTCTGTCTGCATTTCAACAGAGTGAACCAATGCCGAGTAAGAAGCAAGCCAAGATGGCGGCTGCGCTCAAAGCCTGTGAAAGGCTTCACACGATTGGCGAGCTTGATGATAACCTGTTACCAAAGCAGACTTTATCTGACGAGGAAAGTGATTTGGAAGAAGAAGCAGCAGCTGAGTCTGACGGAAAAAACCAAAAGCTGGAACAAAGAAGAGAAGACGACGGTACAAGAGAAAGGTCAGCAGTTGAATTTCACAATTTTGGCCTGTGACTTACTCATTAAACTATTAACTTACATATCTCAGTAGAATGTCCCAGGCAATGTATAAGTATGAATTTGGGTGTCAGCTAGAGGGTCTGCCGCTCCTTGAGTAACAATAATCGGCCCCATAATAATCGGTCAAATTATAGCCAACTCAGTGATCAAACGTCGGAATTACCAACTTTTTTTAGCTTTAACAAACAAGTTATTCGCTTCTAAAACGCCGTGACTTAGTGATCATGAAACCATGAAATCAGTGTTCGAATCCTCACGTTGAACTCAAGCTTTTCCTTCGCTTCACGCTCTTGACAAATATTTACACCTTCTTTACCTAATGTTTTGTTCTTTTCCAGGTTCCTGAAGTATTTGTCAGCAGCTTGGTACAGGATTGTCAGCTCCAGTTCCTCACGACCATCACCATACAAGTCACTAAACTTACTCAGCCACAAGAGTTTGTCATTAGTGAGCGACTGTTCCTCGATAAAACTTGTACGTTTGGAATGCTGACAACGAAAAGAGTTCCTTGGGTTAGTACTTGATTATTAATATTTCATGCGTTATCAGGTAACCGAATTCTGTGGAGCAATTTTCAATCCAGTGTCGCTCTGTGATTGGTCCAGAAAGCTTGCACCTTTCTATCAGCCAATCAGCTGCAAACTAAAACCAATCACCAATTTGGTTGTTTTTACTTTCAGTTCCCGCAATTCTCATTGGTTCCTAAAGGTCCACGATTGCAGCATATAGCACTTTTACCACACACACTGTAGATGTTGCCCTACATCTTACAATGCAATTTTTTCACTCTTCAGATTCGATCGTTCAAACTCTATCCTAACTATGGCGAAATCACAGTATCCTTGCAGTGTCACAGATCTCCTTTGCCGCGTGTAAAAATCACTAAACAAGAGTTGGACATTATTCGCGAGTTTCATCTCTTTCTCTTCAGCCACGTTCTACGCTATCCCGTGGAATTCACACCAGGAAGCGTAGATGGTTACTTCATTGTTATGTTGAAGGCTTCAGGAAGGAGTATTGACTTTGATTACATGAGAGAGGAGCTTTCGCGCGCATCCAAACAAAGCAATGGAAATCAGCGCATCGTCGTGGACGCAGTAGTAACAAAGAACTACGTTGAATCTCCACAAAAGTACGCTGTTTTGAATGTTCGTGACGATCTGACTCCGATGTCTTCGTTCCCGGAAAAGTCGCAGGGCAACACTTACGAAGAATATTTTCGCCTTAAATACAGAGAAAAGGGATGCATTGCGAACAAGAATCAACCTCTCGTTGAAGTGAAAGAGTTCTCCCCTAGAGTGAATTTTCTAGTGGACCGAAAACTAGGAACAAAAAACAGGCGAGATGTGATTTGTCTTGTTCCAGAGTTGTGTGACCAGAATCCCATTCGCGCTTCTCTTCTCAGCGTGTCTCAAATTCTACCATCTGTTCTTCAGCGTGTCACCTCCCTCCTCCTTGTTGCCGATCTCAAGGCCATGGTTGCCGGTGTACGCGACACAACAGATGAATCAAGTCTCCCTCCTATTGGAGCAGAAGAGGGCTCGAGAGAGGCGCCCATGGAGGTAGAAGACGATGCTTTGGACCCTGAAGAAGACGATGCGCTTTTCTCCGACATCAGGTCGATGTTCCATTACAGTCCACCATCTGCAGACCACCCCGGCTCCTCTCTCGTTCTTCAAGCTATTACCACCACCCACAGCGGAGATGCGTTTAATCTGGAGAGGCTTGAGATGCTGGGGGACTCATTTCTGAAGCTGGCCGTGTCCATTCATCTCTTCTGCACATACAAGGATAAAGACGAAGGCAAGCTGACCCAGCGGAAGAAAAACCAGATTAGTAATTTGGCGTTGTACGGAGCAGCGGCCAAGAAATCTCTGGGCGAGTATCTCCAGAGCACGCAGTTGGCTCGCGACATGTGGTGTCCTACGGGATGTCAGTTTGGCGACGTACTACCGAATCGCACCACAGGTAGCCCAGCCATGGAAGTTGACAGCGAGGACACGGTCGAGGCAATGGAAGTTGACGAGACCTTAGAGAGCGGAAAGAAGACAAAACTTACTGCTACAGAGCATGCGCGCCAGAAATGCAACACGCAAATGATAGCGGACAAGTCCATAGCTGACAGCATCGAAGGACTGATCGGAGCGTATCTAATAGACTGTGGTTATCTTGGTGCATTGCGATTTATGAAGTTTCTGGGGCTAAAAGTTTTACCTGAAGTTGAAGCAAAGGACGGCAATGATTTGCAGGCGGAGAATAACAAATCGGGTTGTTATGCCAGATTTTGGCCGGATCAGACAAAAATAACAGCAGCGCAAGGTAAAGGAGATATGGTTTTCCGCCTCACTTCTGGCCTGGAAAACTTTGAAAACGAATCAATCTCGTACAATTTCCAACAAAAGTTGCATTTGGTAGAGGCGCTAACTCACGCGTCCTACCACGAAAACCGTGTCACGCCAAGTTACGAAAGACTCGAGTTTCTCGGTGATGCTCTGTTGGACTTTTTGGTCACGCAACATTTGTACTTCCGTCACGTCAACTTGTCACCAGGGGAACTGACCGATATACGACAGGCCTTGGTGAACAATAACATCTTTGCCACCCTTGCCGTAGAACACAGTTACCACAAGTATCTGAAGCATATGTCTCCAAAGTGGTTCCAAACGGTGAAGAGCTTTGTTGACAGAGTGGAAGACGAGGCAGAAGAGAGGAAAGATAATCAGCTTCAAACGGTAGGGTGAACTTTGTTTTACAATCCTTTACATCAGTTTTCTTATTCTCCATTCTGTCCTCCATACATTTTCTAAGGTGCTGATATGGAGAATTTGTTTAACAATCAAGAGGCTCTTTCGTTGGTGATGGAGACGTTTCCTTTATTCTCGTGACCTTAACATGTGATTTAGGGCCGATATTGAAAGGAGAAATTAGGTGCTAATCACTCTCATGGGCCATGGGTTACCGCCCTTAAACAAGGCGTTGAGGCTTTATGAATATCTTCTCCAGTTGATTTATAAGGAGTATTTCTTTGGTAACACTTATTTGGCAGGTCACCGCTGACCCATTTATTATCGTGTCTGAAGAGGAAGAAGAAGGAATCGAGGCGCCTAAAGTTCTTGGTGACATCTTCGAGTCAGTAGCAGGCGCGATATTTTTGGACAGCGGTATGGATTTGTCTAAAACCTGGGATGTGTACTACCGCATGATGAAACCCTACATCGGTAAGTTGGCCATCGCCACCAGCGAGGGTGGATCACCCTCCAATCCAGGGAAACCACCCCCCCCCCCCGGGGAAAAGCCTTATCAGTAGGAAGCTCCGAGGTCTTTCTCGCAATAAGCTGGAAAAGGAGTGAGAACGAGTTAGAGAGAGTATACTCAGCATGGCGTTAAAGGATTTAATCCTAGCGATCAACTCCAAAGTGTGAAGGAAAGCCATTGAATAACGAACCTAGAGAAAAATTTTACAAATATTGATTGATATGAAGTTTTCGATTCAGATTATTAATCAGTAAGCATATCGCGAAATCCCATCAGACATGTTTACGAGGAACCTGGAACCTGGTGAAAAACACTAGAAAGATTGATTGATTTACGTTTTCGATTTAGATGAATACTCGGTGAACATACCGCGAAATCCCATCAGAACTGTCTACGAGGAAGACGAGGACGCTGACTTTGGGTGAGTGTACAGTTCAAGGTTAACATTTTTTATGGTTGGTTGACTCTCTCCGCATACGTCTCTTACTAACTGCACCAAAGTGTAAATAAATTTAGAGAGTAATAGAGTGCATTTTTTCCAAGGACAACATTTCTGAACAGCGGAAGCAGTCTTTAAAGAAATTGTGGCCGAGTGCGGCAGATCTTTCCGAAAACATGGACCTGTGAATGTGTATAGAGCTAAAATTACCTCAAAATGTCGGAAAATAAAATTGTTCGGCGTCAACGAAGAGCGCAAAAATAGTGTGGCGCAACGTAAAACTTGTCAACATTTTTCTCTCGAAATAGGGAGATATTGAGAAAGATTACACAGACCTGCGGAAGTAGCGCAGTTTAATCTACCAAATTGCATAATCCTACTCTTACATAAAAGTTTAATCGTCCTTTCAAGATCTACATACCAGTCAGTAAAGCATTGAAAAGTGCGAATGACAACTTGCACATGAAAGTGATCGAATGTGCTTCACGTAACGCTAAGCGTTAATTGCTTTTTCAGGCGCGTCTTTTGGCGTGCGCTTCTTTCATCTCACACGCATTTATCGAGCCAGATAGGCCTTGTCCGCCATTAACTATCAAACAATGAGTTCTCCTGATAACGCAGATTTTCGTGTTTTTTTCCAACATCATCTCTCGAAATAGGGAGATATTTAGAAAGATTACACAGAACTGTGGTAGTGGCGCGGTTTCATTTACCAAATTGCATGATCTTACCCCTACAAAAAAGTTCACTCGTCTGCTCATGATCTACACACCAGTCAGTAAAGCATTGAAAAGCGCTAATGACAACTCGCGCACAAAAGTGGCCGCATGTGGTTTACGTAACGCCAAGCGTTACTTGCTTTTTCAGGGGCGTCTTCTGGCTTGCGTTTCTTTCATCTCACACGCATTTACCGAATCAGAGTGGCCTTGTCTGCCAATTGGCTATCAAACAATGGGTTCCTGATCACGCAGATTTTCATGTTTTTTTTTGTTTTGTTTTGTTTTCTTCAGGAAAGCGAAGACCCTTGATGATGGTAAGATCCAGTGCACTCTGAAAGTGGACTGGGGAGAGTACAATGGAAAGGGACCGAACATGAAGATTGCTAAAGCTACAGCTGCCAAGCTTGCTATTGAAGGACTGAAAAAGAAATACGCTGCGGTGTACGAGGAAGAGTAAGAGTCAGAGTGGGCTTGGAGGACATCAATGTTGCAGCAAAGGTGCTTTCTTAGATTTGTATTGTTGAGATAATGCTGTGGAACACTGTTACAGTAATAGGAAGTAGATTTCTTATGTACCTATGATAATATTTGTACGTTATCTTCCACAATGAACATCCCTTTCTAGGAGCTACGTTTATGTAGGTGACCTACCTTGAATGAATGGGCGTCATTTACAATTACTTTGTGTTACAAATGTCCCTTAAATGTTGTGAACGACTTTCTCAGAAATCGATGACAGTCTAGACATTTGTCTAGAGACGTTTGCATTATTAATACGGCTTTGAAATATTTTTTATTTAAATTTTGTCTTTTTAGTGACTTTTGTTTTTAACTTGTAGGCTTCCCTAAAAATTAAAAATATTTTTTATTCACTTTTTATCTGTTTAATGACTCTTGTTTTTATCTTGTGGGCGTCAGGGCATTGTCGCTAACAATTTATGGAAAATAAAGAAAAACTGAAACGAACAAGAGAACACCGAAAAAAAAAATAGAAAACTCTAACAGCAATAACAGTGAAAGTTCACCATAGCAATGCCTTGGTATATGAGTTTTTAATTGATGAAGATAAAATTTTAGTTTTAAATCGTTTCCTGGAAATCAGGCATTTCCTTAAAAAAACGTTACCAGTTTTAAGTGCGGCAAAAGTGTACATGTAAGAATGCAAGAATGATTTTGGTAATCGTGATATGTGTTGTAGTTGTAAATAGTGAAGCTGAAATGAAATAGAAAGTCCTGTGTAAAATAACTTTACATAAATGAGAGAATAGTTTGTCATTACTCTTTAAAAATGCCGCGTAATTCCATAATAAATAATAATTTTAACTAGCATAAATTTGCTTGAATGTGTATTACAAATGGCTACGTTACTCGCTGTCCGTGACAGATAGGGAGATAAGTGGTCAAAAGAGGATAAGCGAGCATGTTCGCTTAAATTCTTCAGAGACCGAAAGAAGCTCTCACAGGAGGAACCCCAGTTTGGTTTCTGCGTCTAATTAAAATTAACGCTTCTGCTATTTATCCACCGTGTGACCTTTTATTCGTGACTTCCTCAAGAATCTATTGGTTTAAAATAACGATGTCGTACGCCAACTTGGTGAACGTGGCGTTTATCTCAAGCATAACAGTTCGTTGATACTTAACAGTGTCATAGCTACTTCGCCTGCGCAAAGTGAGACGAAGTGAAAGTCTATGTGGCGAGAGAAATCTCTGCTGTGTGCATTTTGCTAAACCGTAAAACATACCTCTGCATAGTAAGAAGTCGCTTTGATTTAGAAGCCTACAAACTGTTCTTCGCACAGTGTTAGGTACTGTGCAGGACACTCTTTGCCAATGCTTACTAGAAACAACTGTGCAAGACGCCATCTTGCTTTAAACTTAGACCATTTTCACTATGCGTTGCTCCTCAAGTTTGAAGTTGTGTTTACTCAGGTACACACCTGTGAACGAAGCGCACATCCAGGTGGAAGACAATGCGTTAGCATCTCACATGTGTCACTTGTGGATTTGCCTGGGCACGTGATTTGATTTGAGTTTCGCTTGTGAATTTGGCTATCAATGTTCTTTTTTTCTTTATCGTTTGGTTAAGAAAACGTAGTCACTTAGGTTTGCTTTAGAGAGAGAAATAACGAAAATTTCCTCGACGACCTAGATTTTCCTACTACATTTAGTAACAAGATTTCCGTACAGCCACATACTTCATTATGCGTACATCTTTTGGATAAAGAAATCAAGGGCAAAAATAATAGATTCTCTACCTCTCGCAAATCACGACGGCGACAGCAACGAGGACGTAGCAAAAAAAAGAATCTAATGAGCAGAACAATAGTTCAGCACGTGCGTTTTTAACTTTGTACATTTCTAACTGTCTTCTTCAAAACAACAACGGGAAATCACCAAAATTTGCGTCGTCTGCGAACGGAAACCGCGACGGCAAATCATTTGAATTCCATTTGGAACTTAACACTGCTTATATACGTTAAGCTGAAGTTGAGGTGCGGCACGGTTAGAGACGGTAAACACATACAGCCATTTTCGAAATTCTAACTGAAAATAGACATTCATTTATCAATCGACGTCTACCTTGGCGTTGCCGTCTTGAGAGCTAAAGGTCCCTTACACTAGTATTTGTGACCGCATTTTAGAAACGTTTTTTAAAACCTGGTGTTTACCATGGTGGTAAAGTTGCTGACTGACCTCATAAAATTTACTTTAGAAATAGCTATTCAGTATTTGTGCTTGAAAAAATTCAACTCGGATTTTCAGATTCTTAGTCATTTGGAACCCGTGACAATCTTCTCCACTCTTCACCACTCTTGTTCCTGATTGCTTTCGTCTTCCCGTTTCGGTGTTTGTTTGTTTTTTTTCTATCTTATCGAGCAAAATTAATTTCGTTTCCTTCTCGTCTTCATTCGCGACAAAAATCGCAAAATACCTTGGTGCAGCCCTTAAAAAAAAACGCATAAAGGATGAAAAACATTGTGAATTACTGATAAGGGACCTAAAACAGTCAGCGCGAGAGCGCCGAGAAAGCCATCGATTAAAAGATAAATTTACATTTAATGTCACAATAATCAGAATTTCGTGAATGCCTGATTGTGTTTATCATCTCTTACAGCGCCACCCTCTCAGCTACAGCTAACGTATGTGAGCAGTGTTAAGTTCCAAATGGAAACCCAAATACTTTGCCCACGGTCGGGGTTTCCGTTGTCAGACCACACAAAATTTAAATAATTTTGGTGATATCGTGTTTCTTTTGCACGAGAAGGCTAAGAAATGTACAAAGTTTTAAAACGCACGCGCTGAACTATTGTCCGGCCAATTAAATGTTTTTTTTTTTTTTCCGCCATGCCCTCGATGCCGTCACCGGCGTGGTTTGCTTAGTGTTAAGGTTCCTAAACTAATTCTTATTTAGGTTCTACGAAAACACGTATAAATTATTGACTGCAGGTGGTTTAGTTATGACTATTTCTGTTCAACTTTCATGCCTAATAGCCTTTTAGAATGATTTACTTTAAGCTCTGCTATCTGTTACTTATGTTAATAATATGTTTTCATTTAGAGGTAAGTAGCTCATGACGAGAAATGAGTGTCAACTTCAGAACCGGGGTGTACTTACACCCATTTTCAACTACTTTAAGGAAAATATTGTAATATTGAAAAGCGTTCAAAGGAAATCTAATAAAAAATTTCGCTAAGGTTTTTTGTTAATCAGAAAATTCTACCGCCTCAGTTTTCTCTGTATAATCAAACTGTTATTTTAATCCTGATATGTTGATAATGAAAACAAAACGCTTCGTAATGCTGTCAAATCCTGGTTTCTGACAACGTTGAAAAACATGGAGAATTGATGTCAATAAGAAAATTCTAATTCACGCCATATTTAATCACCTGTGACTCACAAATCCAAAATCTCATTATTTAAAACAGGGATATTGACAAAGGCAGATATGAGTGATCATAATACGCTTTTGTCCCGATAAAACTTCTTCAATTACTGCAAAATGATACGACGAGTTTTCATTAACGTTAACTTTATTCAAAGTGATCATAAATATCAGTGTCGTTATAACTGACATATTCCTTTAAATAGAATTCATATTTATTTTAGGAGAAAAGACTGAATTATTTAAGAATTATACAGTGCTAATTATACAGTGCTTTAATCAATGGTCCTTTTAATTTAACTACAGATAGTTATCTCTAGAAATGGCACAACAAACTTCGGAAATTTAGCCGGCAATCGACATGGCGTAAACTTCCTGTTTGCCTTTTAAAACTTGTCATCATCATTGTTTTAATTTATTTTAATCTAGTTCGCTTCGTGCGATATTTACTGTATTCTGGAAAAAAGAACCCAGTAAAACACGTTTATGTAAACTGGGTTTTACTGAATAAAATCAGAAACAGAGAACCTAAAAACTGAATTTTTCATAGGTTTCAAGTTGTCACTAACTTGTATTTTCAATGTGCTAAATTTGAGGTCGACAAACATTGGTTTGAGAAGCTTCTACGAAGACAATAATTTAAAATCGTGTTTAACAAAACAGCTTTAGAACATGTAAGCTTTGGTGTGAATAGGGCATAAGATTTGTTCTTTTTTCCAAGCTTGAGCAAATGTTTTAACACCTCTCTTCAAACAGTCGTATCTTTCACTGAAACCGAAGTCCAATATCAGCCTGTTTAGCCACGGCAATGATCATTCTAAGTTGATGACCAGCATTATGATTGCTTGAATGTACTCTTCACAGCTTTTCTCACTTCTCTGATCTTCCAGCAGTAAAGGAAGGGATTCAACGTAGAGTTCACAAATACAACACTCATTGTCATTTGCCAAGGGAGAAAAAGTGACGAAGACGGACTGGAAAAGAACAGAACTGAAGCCACACCGTAGGGCGAATAACACATAATCAACGACAGCTTCACCCAAAGAATATTGCTAACTGTCTTTCTGTATCGTGCTATCCTCAACATAGTTATTTCATCTCGTTGCTGTTGCCGCGAGTTGCCGTGTATTACGCGAGTTTGCTGCCGACGCAGCCATCGGAAAATCACCGCGTACGACGGAATAGAAATCGCCAAGCATGATGCTACAGTGAGATGGCTGTACCAAAACGATACAAGGCTCTCTATGACATACGATGACGAAAGTACAATGGACATCACCCAAAATGTTGTTATAACCGCATACGTTTTCTTGATAGTCACAACCTCCGAGTGCCGGATGGCCAATTTTAAAGCGAGGAGACGGTCAAAACTTATAGCAGTCGCAGTCCATAAGGACACAGGCCCCAACGTGTAACCCACAATAAACGTGGTGGTCTCTGCGACCCGGCATAAGTACCAATCTTGATGAATAACGGACAGCAAATAGACGACGTCTAGCGGCTCTAAAAAAAGCCCAACCAAGAGATCTGTTGTCGCCAAATTGCGAAGCAACAGCCTTGTGGGTGGATGAAGCGAAGTCTCTTTGCGAAGAGCCGTTAAAATCACCATATTTCCGAGAAGCGCAGTAACGGAAAAAAAAATGTTGCATGCGGCTGTAAGATATATCAAGTTGTCGGATGTTCCATTTGTAAGAATGCGGTTTGAGCAAATCACGTCACCAAATTTCTCAGTCATTTTTCCACGTCCTGAAGAGTTCATCACCTTAGTATATCTTAAATGTGAAAGAGAGTTACTGACA